GACATCCAGTCAGTACCTCTGCACACCACCAGGTACAATTGACTGTGATGTCTCCACGACAATCCTGTTCCTGTGTCCCTGCGAAGAACAAGTTTCGAGGCTCTTCATAACGTTTCGCATCCCGGTATACATGCAACTGTCAAATTGATCACCGAACACTTTATATGGCCGAACATGAACAAAGACATCCGCATATGAGCAAAGACCTGGTTAGCATGCCAACACTTGAAAGTCATTCGGCATATTCGATCGCACATCGGGACTTCACACAACCAGTCAGCAGATTCGACCATATCCACATCGATATTGTCAGACCTCTACCATATTCCAATGGTAATTTATACATCCTGACATGCATCGAGCGTTGAACTCGAAGGCCTGAAGCCACTCCCATTACAGACACACTTGCAAAAACCATCGCCCGAGCACTTGCCACCAGATGAACTGTCCTTTTTGGCGTCCCTTCTTACATTACCACTGACAGCGGTTCCCAATTCGAATCCCAACTCTCCCAACGGCTGACGGAACTACTGCGCTGCAAAAGGATTCGCCCTACAGCTTACTCTCCTCAAGCGAACGGTTTAGTCGAATGTTTTCATGGACACCTGAAAACCGCGATTTAAGCACACTGATCCGACTCACTGGACAGATATACTTCCGATGATTTTGCTGTATCTCTGAACAATGTTTCGATCAACCCTTCAATGTTCACTCGCAGAACTAGTTTTTGTAACCACATTACGTATCCCTGGCAAATTTTTTACCCAAGTAGACAACAGGAACACTGATCCCTTCACTTACGGTACTAAAATGAGAGATCACATAAGCCAACTTCATTATTGCGCACTCACGAGTTCATTGAAATCATCGTACGTTCACTCTTATCTGTTTACATTTTCATTCACATAGACCGTCTTTAACATTCTTTACGACCTCCGTATGAGGGTCTATTTTGCGGTCTTACACCTCATGCTAAGCATTTTACTGTCCATCTCTACACAACAGAAGATACACCCTTAGCATTGACCGTTTTAAACTTGCTTTCACTGATTTCCTGGTATCAACGGCAGCAGAAAACACCCAACCGACATAAACAAAGACCATCGACGTTTCCGACAGCAACTCCTCCAACTGAGACTTCTACCAAAGAAAACAGACGTATCACTGGATCCGGACGACATGTGCATTGGACTGACCGTTTGGTCTGCCGGTGAAACCAGTGACACGATACAATCATTTTGTTATCCTCCCCAACACATGCGCACTTGTGTTAGGATGAGAGTATTGTTAGGTCCGTCTACAACTTTCTCAAAGCATTCACGTTTTTGGAAATGTACTTTTCCTTTGATCTACATGACAAGGCGTAGTTACTCACCACGTGATCTACACTCAGACGTCAAAACAGCACTTGGCCACGCCCGCGTGTCAAAGCGCGTGATAACCATGGGTGATTGAGAGTGCACAAAACGGATATACTTGTCACATCAAGTCGCAACACACACAACTGGACGACGGGACAACGGATGTGTACGCTTCCATCCACCTGTGCAGGACCCGACGTAGCCATCGTCGCAACCGACCGCAATCTCATAGCCATCAGACAAGCACAGGCGATAAGTCTCTCATGTATCATTATTATCTGTACACTAGTATCATTTATATTGGTGCCTAATCTGATTTTGGAGCTAGCCACAGCTTAAGCAGCACTAATGGCACTCGCCTACGTACATCATCCTTGCGGACACGCTGGCGCTAGCTGAGACTAGCAATGCTTCGCAGACAATGATGATCAGACTTGAAAACGCCAGATACCTTCAAATCGAGACCCACCATCAAGGATTAAGAGGACCCTCATTGTGCCTTTGTAAACACGACTGTTGAGACGGAGGGAAACCCCATTCTGACGCCACAGATGTCGCAGATTCAAGAAAGCGGTTCTAATTTTTGCGATACCTGCACAGACTTCAGTGCTTATGCGCCCATCGTTGCTGATGCAGCTGCCAAGGTAGGTGAATTGATCAACTATCTCGAGTTCCTCACTATGAAGAGTCAAACGTGATCACCAAGTGGCTGGTGGTCTTGCAACAACACTTCGCACTTTGAAGGTGCGAAGCGCATGTCAAATGATGGGACCACTCTAGAGAGGTTATTCATGGTTCATTGTACCGCGCATGGTTAAAAAGCAAGACAATATTGTCCGAATAATCAAGATCAGCAGATTTTCCGCCAAGCAGAAGCTCAACAACCCCATCGTGAGATTCCGCAAAGTAACACTCCATGATGAAGCCAACGACGAAGTTAAGCAAAAATGTCGAAATTGGGCAACCCTGAGGAACCACAATTGTTGTCGGAAAGACCACCTGATGCGGCCTGTAGTGTTCGAGTATAGGTCAGGTGGAACGTTCACATATTTCAGCCCAGGTATTTCGAACATAATGAATTTATCAACGGGGTCGAACCCACTCTTGAAGTCTAGGAAAACAGCTATTGTCGATCTACGTTACGTGTGACCTTGGTATAGATAGATGTGTTCCATCTTGGGTGCAAACCAGCGTGCTCATCCCTCATTCAGAATGCTCGTTCTGCAACGCGGCTAGTAATGTTGTCGCCATCAGGGTTAGAGTAATACCTTTCCGGTTAGTACACAGTTGCTGTGGGTGCCCTTTCTTGCCCATTGCCATAATGGTCCATTCACTACAGTTAGCTGGTATGGTCTAGGCCTATTCGAACAGGTGGGTCAGTGATTTGCAGAGGACCTGGCCGCTATCCTTAAATTGCACATGTACGGCGTGAATCTCGATCAGCAGCTCGAAAACGATTAAGAGCTGTGATCGCGTTTCAGACTTCAGCCTCCGATGCAGCCGCTAAACTAACCGATCATGGCTCGTCCTGCACCACCTGAGTGGGAATGGGTCCGGAACCAGAGAGCCAACTACTGTTGAAAGTGCTTCGCCCAACGAGCCATACGGCACTCAGTATTATGAATCAGTACGACTGCGCTGTCTATGGTTGTCTCAATGACGCCTGGTTTCCCGGAACCAGTTGGAAGATCTTGTGATAAGTGCCTACTGCTCCTGCCTCCTCCATTTCTTGGGCCCATCTGGTCCTCCAAGCATCCTTGTCAGCACGCAAGCTCCGCTTTTGTTCCCGCTCAATAGTCTGTTTGGACATGTGTTCAGAGCCAGCAGGGAGTTTTCTTCTGGGTTCCAACGAGTCCGCTAACCTCTGATATCCAGTGACTTGTGCGGTGACGACTGATAATACCACAATCAGAGGCTTCCGCTTCGTGCATGGGGGTTGAGATTTTATCCCAGTGAAACTCGGTGTCTCTAGGGTGATAGAGTAGATTTTCGGTATGCAGGACATCCTGGTGGGCTTGCCTGGCCAAAAACTAGAATAACTTTTCAATTGCTATGTATGTCAGTAAAGTTCCGAACAAACAACAACGCACCAAAGTATGATCAGAGTTGGCCCACGGATTCCGGCACGAGCGACAGTCCAAGTTGGAAGAAACTGCGTCAAGTACTACTTCGGGAATCAGTCTTAGTTCGTGTCGTCAAATGGGCTCCACACAAACGACAACTCATGGAAATCCAACAAATCAAAGATGACACAGCCTTGGGGAGGAGGGCGATGCTCATCCCAGCTTGTCCGGTGGTTGCCGCATGAGCATCTCCGGATGCATGTAACAACTAGCGAGAGGACCAGTCACGCGCAGTTAATTCCATAACCGCGTGGGGTCGTCGATCTTAGTTTTGGACACGTAACACAAGGGTGTCCAATGCTCCTGTGAGTGCAGCCTGTCAACTTACCTGTCTTAATTACAACGTTGAATGTCGCCAATGAAACGGGACAGCGTGGCAGTTGCAGTCCACTAGCTGATGCGAGAAGGTGGTTGCAGATGGTACAACTCCGGTGTACTAGCGGTTGCTGTCAATTAAGCTGGGAAGAATAGAAGGTAAATTAGTAATCGGAGTCGGAAGGGGTATGAGGAAAACAGGTAGAAGAGAATACGGCCATGAGTTGTAGCATGTTTCGCTTATCCACCCTGCTGTATGAGGCAGATAAGACGATCCTTTTGAAGATACAGGACGGCCGATGTGGGATGTGGTTGAAATTTGATGAAACAGTTATGGTTGTATGTGGGATGGTACATTGAGGGCGCCCAAACTTAGATATGAGAATAATTAGTGTCCACAAACAGAGCCTTTTGCTCAAAAAACGTGACGGCAATGCAGCAGAGAGGTGGCAACAACCCGGCTTTACAGAAATGGACTCAATGTCATTTCTAACCGCCAATCTAGAGGACCAGGAGACCGAGTTCGTCTGACCTCTAAACATCGACCAAGCTGGTAGGAGTACTACTCAAGAGGCAAGGAGACCCTAGCCAGTAGAATCTAAGAGACACGCAAATCGTCGCACCAGTCTTGTTGCGACGGATACGAATAGCAAGCGAAGTCCTTGTTAAATTCATCTTTGATAACTTCCAAGCCTACAGGGCATCCAATCTCTAGACGCGGAATGACAAGTCTGATTGAGTCTCGAAGTAGAACAGTGGAAAAATGGCTTCAATGGGAGATTGTTGCGCGTGAGGACCAAGGCGGTGAGAAGCGAAAAGCCGTGCTATGGAGGGGACAACTTCGACGATAACACTTCAGGTTGTTTCTGTAGCCCTGCTCCATGTCTTCTTGGTGTGGAATATTCCATCATTAGTCACACAAATGTGATGACTATAGCATTTGTCAATCAGAGAGAAAGCCAATGGCACTTCCGAACTGCACTGTTTGGCGCAACCGTACACACACAGGCACGTACCGTTGTCCCAAACAGGTAGCACTTTTTGCATAAGTTGAGTTAACTTTGCAAAAAAAGATAGACTATCCGTCTAATTGCCCCGGAAGTAAGAGGGGACAACGGAGCCTAAAATTCTAGGCACTTCAGGAATTATCGGTGATTCGACGGGTCTTTCGATCACGTAAGGCCAAAAAATCGGAACTCACTTGCGGTCGCCCGCGAGTTTAAATGGATAGCCACGCACCGATATTCACATGAGGAATTCCAAAACGGGAACGTGGCGCAAATGCATCCTGGTGTGGGAAATTTCTTTCAACAACTTGACCGTGTGGTTGACGTTACCATCTTGGACTGGGAGGTTATCCGGCGCTTTCTTTATTAGTCTCTGCAGAGAGGAACCGATAATATAGACACGATGTTAATAAAAGTCAGTCAGATATAGACATATCAGGTTGCGTAATTTCGCGACGTGTTAGTTCTTGGAGCATAGTGTACCCGACAAACAGAATCCTAAGACGACTGGGAAAATTGAATGGGCATGCTTTCTGCTACGGCGATTGGGTTGTGTATTTAGGAGGTTGCATCACGGCTGGTGGCAGCGTTGGAGATGAAGTCTCACAACGGATTGAAAAGGCTCGCTTCGCATTCATCAAAATGAGACACCTATGGCGTCATCGTGATGTCAGTATCAAGGACAAGGTGTACAATGCTTCCGTCCGTGCAGTACTCCTGTACGGCTAAAAGACGACCTATTCGTTCGGAAGATATGAAGCGGCTGTCAGTCTTTGACAATCGCTGTCTACGAAGGATTGTTCGGGTGTGGTGACAACACCACGTAAGCAACGCAGAGGTCCGAGACCGAGTGCATGGAGCAAGTAGTGCCAGTCTTCAGAATGTAATTCTCCAACACTGCATGCGTTGGCTCGGCCACGTATTGCGCATACCGGCCTATCGCCTTCCCCGTCGAGCGTTATTTGCGCTCCCCGGAAGCGGCTGAAAAAACTGCCGCGGTGAACAATCAATGACATGGAGAAGGAGCATGGGGAATGCAACCAAAAGCTTAGCATCGGTCGGACGAGTCCGCCTTCCAGGATGGGGACCATGCGATTCGGACTGCAGATGGTTAGAAACGTTGGAGGCTATGGCGCGCAACCGACATCAGTGGAAGCAGTGCTGTTCAACCGTGTTACCTACTAGTTAATGTCACATGGAACATAAAACGCAAAAACATCCAAAAGCGGGGTGTGTGAAACCGAGTCGTTTTTTTAATGTTGTATTTTGTTTACCCCCTTTATTTCGCCATGGTTCTGATGGCGCATTATCCGTAAACAGATTGTGAATATATATATATATATATATATATATATATATATATATATATATATATATACTAACCAGAGATTTGATTTACCAAAATGGCAAGTCTAGTCAACAACAAAAAATGCCTGAAATGCCGAAAAACTGTGCGGGTAATTCTGCAATTATTCAAAGGTTACTAGTTGTAGAGCACATGCGAGCACGCGACAACGAGAAAACCGCCAAGTTTGGTTTCAATGGATGGGTGAAATGCGTGTTAGATCCGACCAGATAACATTCGTCGATTTCTATGTCGGGTTTTGCACCGGTGATGTTGGAAATAAATGATTGCGTGTCGACTTGTGGCGGAGATGCAGCCGGAGGATAAACAAACGCTAAGTGATACCAAATAACCATCGTCATCAATCATCACACGCTCCAAGCGTTTTTGACGGGCTGTCCACTCCCGTGGTGCCAGATAGGTGGATAATAAACCTCCCAGAGCAATCGTGACACTAAGTTATTTGTTGACTATAGTTAAGGAAACAGTTGCTCGGATTTCTAATATTGTTACTTGAACGAGTATCAGGTGCACCGAGATGTACGATTGGCTGCGCACCACCACAACTAACCACGCAGCCAAGCGTCCTCTGGAACTTGCCAAATTTGGTGGGCGTTTCCTAAAACCTGTTTGGTCAAGCTATTGCATGATTTGGTGTAGTTTCGATGAATTCCGCAAAGGCTGTAACAAGGCGTTCTATAAACCAGTTACTGTGCTGACGGACTTAATGCAACCAGCTTTCACCAAAAAAAGTTGCAATTTCGTTTTAGATCCGCTCTATTCTATGCAGTCCGTAAACGACATGCTAACTGATTCGAAACATGTGCTTTGGGGAGTAGGGACAGTTCATTACACTGCACACAGGTGGCCAATCACGATGCCACGAGGAAGCTGCTAGCATGCGTTAGTTTGAGGCTCAGAAATGAGAACAAAACCGCCACAGTATCTTTCAAAAAATTTTACTCTTTTGTGTACCTTTGGAGAAGAGGAAGTGTTGAAGGAAGTGTCTCTTTGCTGGTCGCACATAAGGATCGGTGGCGTCAATTTCGGAGGAACGGGAGCCTTCGGACCATTAGCGACCCATGACAACCCAAGAGGGAAGTGATCATCGACAACGGCTTGGAGGCCTTGCAAGCAAGCCATCCAAGAACGGATCCACTCGGCGTTCCGAGTGTGGCTGATAAATGAATCGTTAGAGAAGCGGTGAGGTGTTTATGAGCTAAAGAAGGAGAACATGACATTAGTTGTTACAGGTTGAATTTTAAGAAGCTGTGCTCACTACACTGATCCATGGTAATATATTCAAAGTAAAAAGATCGACAAACGATAATCCCACTGACACGAGTATTTGTTAGTGAAGTTGAGTAACATAAAAACGCAATCAGCATTACACAAAACGGTGGATTATGTAACTACCAATAAAATGTTCTCTTCTGCAGTGGCGCTCTTTAATGCTTACGCACCGCCATCACACGCAGATCTTACCTTTGTCAATAATTCCTTCTAATTTACTTCTAATGACAGTCTCACTCATGTCCAGACTTCGACCAATGGCCCTCCTTCGACCCGGATCCCCATTCCGGCTATCGGCCTTCAACATTAGAATCTTTACGCAGATCTGACAACAGTCCGGTCTAGCGCGCACCATGGAGTCCCTCGCTATTCTGTGTTGCAATTCTGAGACTAGGTTACAGAACCCCAATAATGTAATTAACCTCCCTTTCAAAAACAAACATTTCCTACATTTGTCTGGTGACCTAGAAGCAGCTACATCTGACTTCACTGTTGTTCGCATCATATTGAGTGACAAAGCTGAAGCTTCGCTGCTCGACTGGTTCCCGATGGACAGCCGACTTCAACGCTCATGTAGGATCAATATACATCGTACAGAGACGCGTTTTTGTTATCTCTGTCTACGCACCAACCGACTGCAGTTGGGCATCGGTGAAAGACGACTTTTATAACGGACTCCACCAGCCTTTGGTTAAAGCTGAAAACTCCGCTGCCGTCTTCCTTGCCGGAGACTTCAATGCACGGTCGCCTGACGCCAAGCGAACTTATTCTTGGCGGTCGTTATGCTCTTGATGGGAGCCGCTTTGAGAACGGAGATAGGCTTCTCACGTTATGTGAGGACAAGTAGCTCTTTCACGTGAGCACGAGTTTCAGCCATTTGAGGGGACGCGCCGCAACCTGGCGTCCTCCTTTATCAACGCAAGCGTTGTCATATTGTAATCAGCTGCGGATGGCGGAGCAGTGCACGTTATTTCAGATCGATCTAGACCACCTATGTCGATTCAGATCACTCTGTGGCCTGTGTGGACATTTGTATGCGCTTTGGTGGTGCCTCGAAACCAAAGCACGGTACCCTGGCTACCAACAGACTAGCCAACCACTACATTCAACTGGCCTATCGACCCTTTCGGCTGTACCCACGGACGTCGCGGATTTTTGGATCACCATGTGCGGGATACTACTTTGCTTCAGATTACTGTGTTATCAGTGTTTCTCTGTGTGAACTGTGCACCATTATTCTTCTTTTGGCGTATTTTCCAATCGGTGCAGATTTGGTGGCTATTCTTTGGCTGATTCCGGCGATCTCATTGATTTGCCCTCCTGCTATCTCTGTCCACCATCTTGGATTCGCTCTAACTTGTGATGCTGTCTCAAGCTAATTGTGGTTCATGTTCGAAAATTGTGGGAAAAAGGCTCATGCACTTCGGTGCTTCGGCTGCGATGTTTTGTTCCATATTTCGTGCATTGGCTTGTCCGTTGACGTGTTTCAAAAATCTCTCGACATCGGTTTTTTCAAGTTATATGTGAAAATGTCGCGGTGCAAGACATCAGAATAAATAGCGATCGCCAACAACTATGGGAAAATTACTCTTCCAGACAGCAACAAAGCGTACACCACGTGGGGTCAAACGTCCTCGTGAAAGTACTTATGTCACGTCGCCTTGTCTTGTCACTCCGCGATCAGCACCACCACCAATAGCGTCTTCGACCCCGGCCGAGCCTCAGGTTCAATGTTCCCCACCGATGGAAGACTCAGACTCGGAACCTACGAAATGCCGCTTCACTGATCGGTCCGTGAATTTCTCAGAGCCTATCTGTGAGCTTCTAAACACCGAAGATCCATGGGCCACCTAATCGAGTTCAGGCGTCCTTGCCGATAAACAACAACCAAATCAGATAAGCGCCTCTAGTTCTGCTCGCCAACGTGTGCAACCTAATGAACAAACGTGACGAACTGTACCTCTTCGCTGTCTCGGAGCGGCCGGACGTTTTAGGACTTGCAGTGACTTGGCTGAACTCCGACCTCATACCCCAAGAAGTCGCGTTGTCAGGATACTCTTGTTTCCGATGCGACCGAAAATCAAACGTTCAAGATGGTGTTTTGTTGTACATGAAATCGTCACTATCTGGCAAACTTACCAGCACCTATCGGAGCGAGGATAGTTTATGCGAACAATTGTAATGCACAATCCGCCTCAGACGAGCAGAACTAATAGTGGGTGTTAGCTACCGTATCCCATTAAATCACATGTACAGAAGCACATGAGCCGCTCTCAGTTCTTAATGACGGGGGATCTAAATTTACTTGATATTTTGGCCAGACGTTCGACTTCTTCCCACTCATGGCGATGATGGGGCTCAATTCGCTAAAATGTCTATTGAAATCGGAGCAACGCAACGTGTCATCCAACTAAGGCGTAACTCCGCATTCGGCATCTTGTCTGGACCTAAGGTTTACGAGCTGCGAGCAGAAGCTGAACGAGATCAGTCCTCGAACCGCTGACGAACAGTGACCACTGCTCCACTGTGGCAAGCACAGAACTGTTGTTACCGTATTGCAACCAACGGAAGTCGACATTCAACTAATGGAGGACGGACTTCAACAGGCTCGTGCAAAAGGCAAGTCAGACTGGTTGGACACTACCACAGAATGCGTCGCTTGAGGCCTGTTGGTCATTAATGAAGGGGAAGCTTAACTCGCTGTGTACTCGGTTCGTTCTCCCGAAGTATTCAAAAATGGGACCTGTCAAACCGCATTGGTTTGATACGGAATATAGACAGTTAGCGCGACGGCGTCGCAAACTTTGGGATAGATACATCAGCTCGGGTTGTGATGAAGATTACACGGTGTACAAGAAACAGCGTAACTTGTGTAACGCCGCAAAGGTCAAGAAACGCCGGCAATTCGAAGAGGTGTTAGCATCCTCGGCCACAACTGCACCCAAAAGAATATTTGCCTACTTGAAACGTCAACTGAAACCTGGGGGCGACCTACCCGTCTTAGAGAGCTTCGACGGACAGACGATCATTTCAAACGCAAAAAGCGCAGACGCCTTAGGTACGCACTTCCTCGCCGTATTTCCCAGTAAACTGGCGGCTGTTCCAGTACCGGCACAGGTTGCGCCAGTCTTGTTCGACAGCCTATAATGTGATGCAGTCGGTGTATCAGCTACTCGTCAACCTCGGTGGTGCAAAGCCCCCCCCCCGGACCAGATGGACTTCACCCACTAATACTCAAGTCCCTATCGATTATCATCATACCAGCCGTGACAAGCATATTCAATAAATCACTATCTGAAGGATCTGTCCCCAACGACTGGAATTGCTCGATGGTGAGATCGCTTCCCAAGGGTGGTGATCCGAGTAAAATAGAAAACTATAGACCGATCTGTTTGACTTCTATCTTATCCAAAATTCTCGAGAAGGTTGTGAAAAAGTGTCTGCTGTCGTGCTTCGAATCGATGGACGTATTGACACCAGCGTAACAAGGCTTTACGAAAGGGCGATCCTGCATCACTAACTTGATGTACACAAACCACCAGCAGGTACGAACTTTCAATGAACAGGTTGTTGACGTCGTGTACATCGACTTTAGTAAGGCGTTTGACAGAGTGAACCATGAGGTACTCCTTCGTAAACAGGACATACGGAATTGGTGGCACGCTACTTCAGTAGTTACACGAATTTATTGTGGGACGAGAGTTTAGAGTACAGGTTCCCATCGACCAGTGGCGTGCCTCGAGGAACAGTACTTGGGCCAGTTTTATTTCTTATTCATATCAACGATCTTCCGCAGTAGCTCCAGCCACCATGTGCCCTGTTTGCAGATGATTTGAAAATCTGAAGGATCATTGAGAACCAGGACGGCTGCGCTTGCCTCCAGCATGACTTAGATCGACTGTCAACGTGGTCCACTGAAATGCAACTTCCTCTTAACGCAAGCAAGCCAGAGTTCACCAGACGTCCAGCCACTCGATCATACACCTTGGACGGCCAGTTGCTCCACCCTAACACAGTCAGAGACTTAGGAGATCTCCCGCGAGATGATATGAGATCACTAGAAAATACAGAAAAATTGTACCGTGCGGGACTTCGTATACTCTGGACACTAAGACGGTTTCTCCACATGGTCCGAAGAAACCGTCCCTCGTTTATTCGCCTCGCTAATTAGACCAATCCTTGAATACGGTGTCCCAGCTTACCATCCGATAACCCAGTGGGAAACTGAAAAGCTGGAGAAAATGCAACATCGCAACTAGAATGATACGGTCAACAAAACCTCATGTATAAAAAGCATTGTGAAAGGCGCAGACTCTACACACTACACGCTATGAATTGACCTTATTATGACCCACCGAGTATTACACTTGAATCACTTCCCCATACTGCGGCCAATATTTCACCTGCGAGAACTCTTTAACACCCGAGGAGACGCATACAAACTCGGGGTTCCCTGCATGAACAATTACGTCAGGTTGTATAGAACAAAGAATCGTAAACTAATGACATACACTACCAGAAAGGTTAATGGAGGTCGATTCTGTGAAGACATTTCGGAAACCTGTGCTTATATTAAACGATGCATAAAATGAACAAAAAGACATCGTACACCCGGAAAGAAGTAGTAGTAGTAGTATTAGTAATAGTAGTAGCAGCAGCAGCAAACAGACAGTAGTTGTAGGTGAGCTGGACATTACCGTGGTGCGATGGTTTGCTTGCCTCAGAGATCCATTGAGCTATGCTGGGTGGTGCCTTTGCACCTTCAGAGCCACTCATACCAGATTGGTCAATGGTTAGAGGCCAGACAAACTCAGTCTCCTGGTCCTCCAGGTTGGGGGTTGGAATGAGGG